CAAGTGCGTGCTGTTCGAGGTCAGCCATTAAACACACATTATGGGCTTGTTGAACAAGTTGATCAAGTTGGCAGCCTGACTACAGTAATGTGTAATGATTTTAATGCCATAATGGGAAATCCACATCTTGGTGCCGGCACATTAACTTCAATGGGGAGACATTCATCCGCAACTCCTTACGATATGTATCGAGGTGGGTCCACGAATAATCTGTATGTCAATATCGCGTCCAGTTCGAGGGGAAGACATTCATCTGCAAATTTCTTTGACCTTAATATGGAGATGCCATCGACGCAACAATCTGTGCAGTTTCCATTTGACACGATGTCTTCAAGCTCTAGGGGGAGGCATTCGACTGCGAGCTTTTTCGATCTCAATCCAGATATGCCTTCTAGTTCAAGGGGAAGGCGTGCCAGTAGTAGGTTCTTCGACCTAAATGTGGAGAGCATTGAGGAACTATCATCTCCACTAGAAGAACCGCTTCGTGATCCTAGTGCGGATGGTGATGAGATTGGACTATTCATTCACCTATAATCACCGCAATTCAACTCCGATGGTGATGATGATGTAGATGAAGTTCCAGCAAATGTGGCACAAATTGACCCTCCAGCACACATGTATTTAGCTGATTATGATGCAATGTACATGCCAGAATTTTCAGATATATCTCATCTCGGTGACTATGGATATTACTCATCAATAAATAATGGTGAGTTATCTTTAGGCATTGAGTTTTCAAGCAAGGAAGAAGCGATGATGGCTATAAAAAATTACAATATCTATAATTCTGTTCAGTCCAGAGTCGACCGCTCCACAATCGAAAAATGTGTATGCTACTGTGCCCGACGTGAAAACGGATGCAATTGGATGGTTCGCGTATCGAAGAGAAAGAGGAAAAACAACATATGAGAACTAACAGTATACAACGGTCCTCACACATGTTGTGCTGGAGGGGTTAACCAAGATCATCCCAACTTGGACTCTGAAGTGATATGCCAAGCCATCATGCCCATGGTAAAAGCAAGCTCTCATATAGCTGTTGCAGTGTTGATTTCAGCTATACAATCGCAGTATGGGTACAATGTCTCATATAAAAAAGCTTGGCTTCCGATACCTACTATCTGAAGTTTTTAAGGTATATGAATTTGAGTTTCCTCCCATAAGTAATGACAAAGACCCTGATGAGGTTTAATATTGGCTTCCGATTGTACCAAATCTGAGTTTATTGAGGGAGCTTGGTCGTCCAAAATCCAATCAAATTCATTGCGATATGAATATTCGAGAAAGATCTAGATAAGACAGAAGATGTGGGCATTGTATAAACCAGGACACACTAGAAAAATATGTCCACTTCTGTTGTCATCAAGTAACAATTGATGAGGAAATGATGTAGTTGTTTATCAAATAATAATTCTTGTACTTTACTTTGCATTTACTTCAAGTTAATGTTATTCGATAACCGCTGATGAAGATTAAAAAAACGATACAATTATACGATATTAGACGTTGGCATTATATTAACGAATAATTGATATTAACGATACAATAAGTATTAAATGATAAATGATAATCAAATTACAATAACTTATATTAAATGATAAATTAACAAAGTAAGTATTAAATGATAAATAATATAAAAATTACAATAAAAAAGTCCAATAAACAAATACAATAAAAAAGTACTAAATACAAGTATAAAAAAAACAAAATCTATCGATGCCTGCGACGCAAATGTGTTCTGCAGGGCGGTGGTTGTCGGTCTCGAGGATGATTTCTTCATCATTGGTTGCGACTCCTCGCTGTCATCATCATCACCATCATCATCGTCGTCGTCCTGAGCAACTACATTTTGTTGATGAGGAGCTGATGACGATGAAGCACCTCCATAGAATAATGACCCTCGAGGTGTATGACTGACTATCCGATCGACTTGCGAAAACTGGGAAAACTCATAAAACCCAGACATCGCTGAGTATGAAAACTGTACAGGAGGTGTCTGTGCTACGACCATGGGTGATGAGGCTGAACTCGCCAAAATGTGAGCATATGAACCCCAAGTCAGATCTACAAACATAGACCCATAATAGCCTCTAGGAGGGGTTATATAACTCTGTGACAACGGCGACGGCAGGGTCATAAAACCAAGTGAAGGTGACAGTGGCGGCATATGGTAATGGAAAGGCGGTAGCATCATCATATATGGTTGCGGTATGTAAGTCGGTGGATACGGTGGCTGCTGTGAAGGTTCTGCTGGTGCAGCTGAGGATGAATCGGAAGCACCTGCTCTCTGTCCACGAGTCGGGGGACGATGGTTCTATGTCGGTGAACGTCTCTGTCAACGTCGCGGAAAGGTCAACCCTCGTGCATCCTCGGGAAGCAGAAATGATTTCCCGTTACTGTTGAACCACTCGTAATAACCGTCAGCAACCATCAAGTGGTTAAGTAAAATGGGCTCTCTACGGGGAAGGCGCCGATGTCGATCCTCCCACAACACGACCCACGCATGATGCCTCACCAGCCAATCTGTATATGTCTTGCTGCGTCTATCTGTGCTATGCAACTCGTCCATATTGCGAGATGCTTCCGGAATTGGTTGAAAACAACTAAATTACCGGAGTACGCAATCAGTGGAGTGTCACTCGACGGTCGCATAACATATCAAAGGGACTATCACCATCCAAACATCTGATGAGCCCCTCAACTCAGGTGGGATCACCACCCTCACATCATCAGTAGAATATGACACCCATTCAAACTAAAACAAATATATATAATTTTTATCAAAATAATAATATAATTATATAACTATAATCTAAAATCGATTTTTAAACATTAAAATTCATACTTGTGTACCAGCCTTCTGATCGATTAACACCTTAATTTTTTCTAAATCATCAGGTAGCTCCTGTTGATTTTTCCTATCAGTAGACCACCTATTCAAGAAAAATAATTTCTTATTCACTATATAAAATTATTAATATACAAAATCATTTTTATAATTACCTCAGGAGTAGCGAAAATACGAATGGGTTCTTGATAACGGGATATAAAAAGGGCAATCGATACCATGCCTAAGACTGCAGCAGCATTACGCCTGTAGTCAATGGCTTGACACACTCCCTGTAAAGGCAAGCCAAAACTGTCGAGCCCCAACTGAGTGATCCGGCCAGATGAAAGTCGCCAAGATGTTACAACCACATACAATGAACTTGGTTGTAAGATTTGTTCGGCATCAGTAACCCTCCTATCAGCTGCAGTATGCATGCTCGTGCATACTGTTTAACTTCATCGTCAGACGCGTCATCGCTCAACTCCCGAAAATTGGCATCTAACCAATTTAACGGTATATGTCCACCGTTAAAATTTTCCGGGACACTTCCTAGACTAAACCGGCACAAAGTAATCCAAGAACCGGAAGCTATCTCTGATATCACACCTCCATCCACCGGAAGCCCCAGGTGCATAGAAACATCCTTAAGCGTGATCGTGCACTCTCCGCACGGAAGATGGAATGTATGGGTCTCCAGCCTCCACCGCTCTACTAAGGCAAAAATAAGATATGGTTCTATCTTACAGTGACCTTGATATCTACCTAGGTGACCGAATCCAACATCTACTAAATACGACACTACACGAGTAGGTATAACTAACTTAAGGTTCCTAATAAAATGATCTAATATACGGTCTCTCTCCTAAAATATAAATAATTACACAAATTAATTTTTAAACTAATAATCATGCATTAAATTAATTAATTAATTAAATTAAAATGTTAAAATGTTACCGTATCAGTAAAGTTTCGAGATATATGATTTCCATCCAACCAAAGTAGACTGCATTCCATTTTATATATGCAAAAAATAATTAAATAAAATATTAAACAATTAAAATAATTAAATAAATTACTAAAAAATACTAAATATAATAAAATACACCTTAATAAGAGAATATAAGAGTATTTGAGAGAAGTAGAGAGGATTTGGTATGATGAAAGTGATTGAGAATGTGGGTATTTATAGGGAGGGATGGGTGTGAACGGGCGGAGGTAGGTTGGTAATTAAGGGTATAGCGTGGGGCAAGGGTCGCGCCTTTCTGACACGTGTCAGAATCACAGGTAAGGCGCGCACTATATGCTGATTTGGCGTCACGTGGGGTAAGACGCGTCTTACTGCAATGAGTGTTAAATTAAAAAATATAGTCTGATCGATGCCTGATCGAAAATATTAAATTAAAAATATGATTTTTCGAGAAAAACATCTTTTGAGAAGATGTGACGTCTTTTTTAAGTTTTATGTAATTGAAATATCAAATCTAGCAGTAGACGTTGTGTATTTCAAGAGTCTTTTCAAAGAAGTCATGTATTTCGTACGTCTTTCAATCAATACTACAACAATCACTTTATACAAAGTAAAAAAAAAATTCTCATACACAGTAAATGAAAATAAAATCTTTTTCCCATCGCAATATCATAAGCATTTGCCGAATTACAAGGTAGACAAATATGTTTTAAAATATATTAAAAATAAATTTTCCAAAAACTATACAAATGTATTCAAAACATATAGTTTTAAAGGTTAATTACAAAAATTATATATACTATAACTATTTTTTTTTAAAATATAAAGAATGTTAGGACAGTGATATATGTGATTAATTTATTATTGAATGCTTATTCAACAATGAAGCAATTAATTAAGAAAACAAAAGCTTATTCAGTACCAAATAAAGAATATATCCCTCTCTTTGTTTATTTGTTAATTTTATACGTACAAATATATAATCTGTATATAAATGGGTCCTTAATATACTCAAAATATAATTTGAAACTAAAAGGAAAAATATAAAAAAAATGGAAATGGAAGAAGCAATAGGAGTCACGCGCTGCTTAGTGGGGTAACTAAGGAATGATATTTTCTCTGAGTCACGTGACTCTTTCTCTCACCTCCTTTCTTCCCGAATTCCACCAAACAATTACAACAAAATCAGGCTCAATTAATATATCAAAAGCTTCAATTTTTCTAAACCTTTTAGACAAAACCAAAAATGCCAAATACAAAGTTCAAATCTTTGCTTCATCTCTTCATCTTCTTCTGGGTTTTCTCAACATGTTTCTCTAGGCCTATAACTTACCCTCCACAGACCAACTTACTCTTCCCGTCCGACGCCGTTTCGATCCTCTCCTTCAAGTCAAAGGCCGACCTCGACAACAAATTGCTTTACGCACTCAACGAGCGCTTCGACTACTGCCAATGGCGCGGCGTCAAATGTTCCCAAGGCCGTGTCGTCCGCTACACCCTCCAAAATTCCGGCTTACGTGGTGTTTTTCCCGCCAACTCCCTCTCCCGGCTCGACCAGCTTCGGGTCCTCAGCCTCCATAACAACTCTCTCTCCGGTCCGATCCCCGACTTGTCCTCTCTTTACAACCTTAAATCCCTGTTCTTGGACCGTAACAATTTTTCTGGGACTTTCCCACCTTCGATCTTGTTTCTTCACAGGATAACTACCCTCGATCTTTCTCACAACGGTTTAACCGGCCCGATTCCAGCTAACTTAACCGCCTTGGAACGGGTAAACATCCTCCGGCTCGAGTGGAACCAGTTTAATGGGTCACTCCCGCCTTTAAACCAATCTTTTCTACTCATTTTCAACGTTTCAGGCAACAATCTAACCGGTAAAATACCAGTCACGCCGACTTTATCCAAGTTCAACACGACGGCGTTTTCGTTGAACCCTGGTTTATGTGGTGAGATTATCCACAAAGCCTGCACTTCCCGTGCTCCGTTTTTCGGTTCTCCCTCAGCTTCTGGAACGCTAGGACAAAGCACGGAAGCCCAAAGCGGCGGAGCTGTTGTTCTTCAACCGCCGTCTTCGCCGAAGAAGCACCGGAGAACTGGAATGCTCCTTGGGTTTACTATCGGCATTGCTTTGATATTATTTTCAGCCTTGTTAGCTTTAGCCGTGGTTAGAAAACAAAGCGGTAAACAAAGAGTGGACTCACAAAAAACAAAGGCGACAACGGCAGCTTCATTAGAAGTAACGAACTCAAACCCAGGAAACCCAAGGACCCGACTCCAAGAGGCTTCGGAAAGGAAAATAGTAATACCAGAGATTCAAAAGCTGAAAAGGAGTGGAAATTTAGTTTTCGTTGGCGGTGAAGTCGAAGGTTATAGCTTAGAGCAGTTAATGAGAGCTTCAGCTGAGTTATTGGGGAGGGGAACGATGGGGACCACGTACAAGGCAGTGGTTGATAGGCAGTTGATTTTGACGGTGAAGAGATTGGATGCCGGCAAAACTGCGGTAACCGCAGGTGAAGATTTTGAGCAGCATATGGATGCTGTCGGAGGACTGATACATCCAAATTTGGTGCCGCTTAGAGCTTATTTTCAAGCCAAAGGGGAAAGGCTTGTGATTTATGATTTTCAACCCAATGGAAGCGTTTTCAATCTCGTTCATGGTATGAATTTAATTGTTTCCCTTTTCTTTTAAGTTTTTGTTTCTGGGTTTACTCGGTGTCTGTGAGTTCATGGCCGAGTTTCACATTAATGTTAAGGCTGTAGGGTTAGAATGGAATGAACCCTAAAACGTAAAAAGACAAACAAAAATGGGGCCTTTGTTTCCAAGTTGTTTGATTATTGGTGGAATAATATTATCATTGGATTCTGGATGAGTTAAGCTAAAGTTATTGCGAAAAGTAGTGTAGAAAAACCAAGGAAAATTTTGGCCGCTTTTAGTACATTATTGTCTTGAAACCGACAATTACTGTTCAATCTAAATTCTGGAATTTCACCCTTGTAGTTATGTTAGAAATTGATTTGGGATTATTTATGTACAGGTTCAAGATCAACGAGGGCAAAGCCTCTTCATTGGACTTCATGTTTAAAAATAGCAGAAGATGTTGCGCAGGGCCTAGCTTACATCCACCAAGCGTCGAGGCTTGTCCATGGCAACTTGAAATCCACCAACGTGCTCCTCGGGACTGATTTCGAAGCTTGTCTTACCGACTACTGCCTTGCCGTCCTTGCAGACTCTCCTTCGACTGAAGATCCCGACTATGCAGCCTATAAAGCTCCCGAGGTACGGAAATCCAACCGCAGACTCACTCCCAAGTCTGACGTTTATGCTTTTGGTGTCCTCCTGCTTGAGCTATTGACTGGTAAGCATCCGTCACAACATCCGGTACTTGTGCCACATGACATACTGGAATGGGTTAGAACGACACGAGAAGATGACGTCAGGGAAAATCAAAGGCTCGGAATGCTAACCGAAGTTGCCAGTGTTTGTAGCTTGACCTCACCGGAGCAGAGGCCAGCGATGTGGCAAGTGTTGAAGATGATACGAGAGATCAAGGAGAGAGCAATGATGTAGGAAGCACATTGGAATGCTATTGTGTGGTGTTGAAGCTTTTGTATATGATGATTTGGTGTCATCTAATACCTATTATACGTGAGATAAGAGATTATACGATGTTTATGGAAGTCTTTATCAACAAATTTTCTCATCAGCCATTTGTTTCAACTCTCGATGCCACTCGGTTTTGCTTGGGAAATGCAACGTGTGAATGATGAAAAGCAACATTGAGCAGCATTCGTTAGGAATATTTGGTAATATTTAGTCTTAATTCTATTAAATTCTACTAGTAGTAATTTTCTTGAGAGTGAGGCTTATTAATGAAGTAAATAAATATTGTTGGGGTGAAGATTAGGGGGTTTTATTACAATATCTAGCTTTTGAATTTTTTATTTAAACGATCGTTAATTGTAGGGTAGGAATAAATATTCATTACTTGTTATTAATTTTTAATTTATATTATTATGTTTGATTATTGAATATGATTTACACTTTCTTCGTTAATTAAAAAATTGTCTAAATATATTGTTTTATTCTTTGATAATAGTTCAAATTGTATCCTAGAGTAAAATATTATTTATGATAATTTACATGACAATATATTATTGTGTTTTAATGGCGTACATGGTTTTTAGTTAGTTTAAGGGATATAATGGCCTCAAAATTTTGAAACAAATAATACTTAAATCTATAAACTTTTTTTTTCACTCAACTAAGTATTTAAAAATATAAAAAATATTTAATATGGCTTTTTGATAAGCGGAAATCATCATTATCCGTTACATTATTGATGTGATAATGCACGGTATTAATATAACGATTCATTGTGCTAAATTGGTAGCCTACATAAGCTGACATAGCAACAATGCAATATACATACAAATGATAATATGACAAATATGTTTAATTAATCTTTTATAAATTGAGAAAATAGTTTTAGTGACAAAAAATGCCTTATAATATACGATTTTAACCAACTTTTTTTGGATTTGCCAAAATGACCAACAAAATCGCAATGCGAAATAAAAATCGCAACGCGATCTCCAGAATCGCAAATCAGTTCCCAGAATCGCAACGCGATTATGAAGAATCGCAATGCGATAGTACAAATTCGCATTGCGATTTTCCAAAATTGCAACGCGAATATGAAAATCGCAACGCGATTCTGACTATCGCAACGAGTATCCGTAAAATCGCAACGCGTATCCGTAAATCGCAACGACAATACGTAAAATCGCAACACATATCCATAAATCGCAACGAGAATACGTAAATCGCAACGCGTATCTGTAAATCGCAACGAGAATACGTAAATCGCAATGCGTATCCGTAAATCGCAACGACAATACGTAAAATCGCAACGCGATCGATAATTAGCAACGCGATCTCCGGTATCGCAAATCAGTTTCCAGATTCACAACGCGATTATGACTATCGCATTGCAATAGGAAAATCGCAATGCGAATACGTAAATCGCAATGCGAATACGTAAATCGCAATGCGAATCTGTAAATCGCAACGAGATTCTAACTATCGCAATACTGAATTTCAAATTCGCAACTCGATTTCTGAATTCACAATCATCTTTTCCTCTACCAAAATGTGGATCCTCATCAAAATTCCAATCACAACCGGCTTCACCTTTTGAGACTGTTAACTTAGGTGATTTTTAAATGCAAACGTTGTATTATGTGTATATTATGTGTGAACTTTTAACATTTTCAGTTAGGCATGTATTAGTAACTTGAGTTTGAACATTGCTATGATAAGTTCAGTTGTTATCACTTATTAGACATTCATTTGACTATCGCAACACGGAAATCGCAACGCGAATATGACTATCGCAATGCGGAATTGACTATCGCAATGCGGAATTGACTATCGCAACGCAGAAATGACTAATTTCGCGTTGCGATTTTCATTTTCGCATTGCGATTCACTCGTTGCGATTTTCATTTTCGCATTGCGATTCACTCGTTGCGATTTTCATTTCGCATTGCGATTATCTCGTTGCGATAGTCATTTCCGCTTTGCGATAGTCTGTTTTGCATTCAACATAATGCAGATTAAAATCAACAAATCAACTATTACATTTCAATCAATTAAACAATCACAAATATTATGTACACATCAATTAAACAAATCAACATTTACAAATCATCTTTTACAAATCAATTAAACAATCAAAAAATAATAATGAAATCAACTTTTGCACCCATACATCCATTTCACACAGCTCATTTCAGGATTAACCTGCAGAAACCAAACATTGAATCAACAACACTTTCTACACATCAAAAACCTACAAACAGCAAATTATTGAATTCTAGCTACTTAACCAAACATTTTCAAACCAAAAAGAGTAAATATGTTTAACAACACTTGCATTTGACTTACAAATTGTTTATGGACACTTTCATAACGCGGATGCAGGTAGGCAGCGTCTCGCATATATCGCTCTAGCCATAAAATGTCGAAACCACAAGCCTACTGCACCTCTATCTCTATCGGTGGGAGGTAGAAAATGTGTACTTCCTGTCGTCAAACGCTCTAAGCATATGCATACGTGAGGACCACAATCCCCTCTGGCTTCATTCGTTTGTTGTGGCGCGGTCTCATCTCTGATAACTGTAACATTGAACTTCTTTGGCTTCTTGTTTCCAGACTTAGTCCCATAATCAATTGCATCCAAGAATTTTGCCAAATGAGAGCTCCATCCCTTAATCATACCTCTCAAATCAGACAATGATATGTAATTTATCATGCTGTCATATACTATTGTCTTTAGGGATGGGAGCTGAAGCTCGACGAGAAGCCAATGAGTACGGTCCAAAACAGGGATAAACACCTGCATCGAAATGTAATAATTCAAATTGCGCACTTATTTATGAACACATTTAAAATATTTAAACAAATATACTAACCTTATCGACCTCCCACCATGCAGGATAAAGTTTAGCTTGTCCATTAGCCAACACATATGATTCCTGTCGTTGATTCTTCAAGTGAACTACGTGAAAAGACGTCGGCATAATTGTATATCGCATTTTTTAATATTTTTCTTCAATTTCCTTACAATTAGAAGACGTGTCACCTATGCATCAATATGTTGTTTTACAAAAAAAGACATATATTAGTGAATTACATAAATTTTAAAAAAAATTAATCAAACTGAAATATAAGAAATATAAGACTTACCCCTCATCGAAATAGCCGTTGTCTTCAACCCCTAATAATACACCCCACCAAGACCGTTCAATCAACAAATGCATATCATCGTTGAGTTTGTATATGTCAGCGTAACACCCTTGGCTCCGCTCATGTAGATAAAAATCAACTGCGGTCTTAGCCCAAAGGGTATTATCCAGAATTGTTTCTGGTAGTTGTTTCCTCTCCACTTCATCTGCCGGAATGGTACTGGCCGGTAACTTATACGAAAGCCAACAGTCATCCATCATGTCCGGCACGTGAGGGGGCTTCTCAATAATTCGATATATTACGCCGTGTGAATCGGGCTCTAGAATGTTGGGAGGGACCTCTTCAATGATGACAGTGGCCTCTTGAACGGTGGGAGGGGACTCTTGAGGGATGATAGGGGCCTCTTGAACGATAGGGGAGGCCTCTTGAACGATGACAGGTGAGTCGGGCTTTTTCTTACGGATTCTTCGCACTATTGGGGTGAACGGAGACGTAATGGCACATGCACGCCGTCTGATGCGTGAACTCCGTCTTGCAAGAAAAACCCGACGTAGAGTATCCACCTTAGCGGGCCGCTAAAAATAAATTAATACATAAATCAGTAAATAAACAGACATGATATTAAACAGTGAGAACAAAGACAAATATATTTCAAACTTGCACGGTATTCACCCAAGTCATTATTATATCATTGTTCACAAAATGCATCAGATAACATTCCAGAAGTAAGCACTTATATAAACATTTGAAAGGACAACATATAGGTTTAGTGTAGGTTCAATGACAACATAAAGAGCAGTAGTTTATTCTTGAAACTTAAATTTTCAACACTGTGAAGTTAGTATTTGTCTTTTGGTTGAAGTAATGCAATTCATTCAAGTTTCAATTTGCAGGAGAAGAATAGAATCTGAACCTTAAAATCGCAACGCGAAAATGACTATCGCAATGCGAAAATAACTATCGCAATGCGAAAATGACTATCGCAACGCGAAATGAAAATCGCAACGAGAGAATCGCAATGCGAAATGAAAATCGCAACGCGATTATAGTTTCGCATTGCGATTTTGTCGTTGCGATTTTCATTTCGCGTTGCGATTCTCTCGTTGCGATTTTCATTTCGCGTTGCGATAGTCATTTTTCACGTTGCGATTTTAAGTTTCGTGTTGCAAAAGTAAACTATTTCTTCTTCTGCAAATTGAAACTTGAATAGATTGCATTACTTCAACCAAATGACAAAACAAAGACAAATACTAACTTCAGAGTATTAAAGAATACACAGTTTAGCAGAATTGACAACAACCGAACAAATTTACTTTTCAACCAAAAGACAAAACAAAGATAAATACTAACTTCATAGTGTTAAAGAATACACAGTTTAGCAAAATTGGCAGCAACCGAACAAATTTACTTTCAACCAAAAGACAAAACAAAGACAAATATTAACTTCACAGTGTTAAAGAATACACAGTTTAGTAGAATTGGCAGCAACCGAATAAATTTACTTCAACCAAAAGACAAAACAAAAGACAAATATTAACTTCACAGTGTTAAAGAATAAACAGTTTAGCAGTATTGGCAGCAACCGAATAAATTTACTAAGCAATCTAAGTGAAATGGTTAATCTAAGTGAAATTACGAGTAAATTTATCATCAAGTTAAATATGGAAAATCTTAAACTTACCTCGTTGCGTAGAGTATGAACCTTATTCTGCAACGATACTACCATCTCACGTAGAGCGGCAACCTCACCACGTAAAGTAGACACCTCCACACGTCATGCACCATCGTTATCGCGTAGAGTACCGATCTCCTCACGCAAGGCATTAACCTCATCACATAACTCCCTTGACTCATCCCGTGGAGGTGGAGGTGGAGAACAGGGAGATAGAAGTCGTGGCATCTTTGCCGGTCGCCTATCATGAGGTGATGGTGGAGAAAAGGCTCGATGATGTGACGGGATAGGTGATGGCTCTCGTTGTAGAGGTGTATAGTCGGGTCGATCAGGTGATGGCTCTGGGTGAGGT